TGATACTACAGGTAGGATGGTGTTATATGTGTTACACTCCTTGTTAAAGGTACACGTGATGCATGGAGGCATACTCAGCATGGAAAGACTATATGAGCCGGACTTCTGCACGCAGTGATGCTCTATAACGACTTGTTCACACCAAGTAATTTATCAGCCACCCTGCAGCATCCTGGCCACTTTAACCCCACAGCGATTGTCTCCTGGACACGTTGTCTCCCACACAAACTATACAAACCCCCCACAAGTCAGCAGATAAGTCTTGATGTTGTGCACAGATATTTTCTGCATTGAAATATATTGGAAGAAGATATTTAACTGATTTTTTATGTCAATCTGAAATGCATTTATATTAACATCAAAGAAGATTTTTTTTCCCACAAAATTCCTGCCATAACATAAGTGTCATCTGTTCCTTTTTTTCTTCCACTTTTTGATACATCATTAACGTTACATACATTTTCTTTGCATCATTTCCCATGCTGGACATATAAGCTGTATGAAGCCTACTTTTTAACCTGTGTCTGCTTTATGACTTTCAGAAAGTGAATGAAAAAGTTACAGGCATAAATTCTCTGTGTGGTTGGCTCTCTGTTCCTCTGTGCATGTGGTGTTGAGGTAGAGGGCATAATCTCTGAGATGGCATCGAAACACTAACATTGATGTTATATTTCTTATCATTTCATTTCTTATCAAAATGGTTAAATGTTATGAAATGCTATTTGTCTGTTATCATTTTAAAGTTTTAAAGTACATGTATCCAAGCATGATTAATTAAATAGTAACTATTTTTGTTCATCAAATTTAAATTTCCCCAGATCAGAAGAATATATCTAAAAAAAATTTTTCAATTTGAAGTCCTATACTTGGCAAGAGTGCTGGGTTAGATAAATGTATTGATCCCTATTTACGGCCCCACTTTGTACTTTCCAGACGTTTGCTGTAGGTATATCTCCGGACACTGGACCAGTACGGGTGGAGTACGATGACCCTAACCTAGAAGAAACTTACCTATGATACCTATAAACATAAATAGGATATTTCACAAATTAAAAAGTGTAAATTCCAAAGCTGAAAAGCCTTCTTTTCTTTAAAGAAGACATATTTCTTACTAAGTGCTAATATATTTTATTTCAGTTTTTGCACATTTTTTTCAAAATTGAAATGTTTAATTATGTATATCATTACATGATATGTGTAAATAGTCACAAACCCTCTCCCATGATCTCTTATCAATTTTATTGATATTAATGAGTGACTGAAACTATATGAACACTGATACCAAAGGTATGAGAGTGTGTATAAAGATGTTCATTGAAATGTTGATCGAATGGACCCTGAGACAACTATGGCTCGTGGTTGGGATAGTTTCAGAATTGTAGGTAATTTGACACTGCTGTCTCGTTTTAAGAAAGTTTTGTTTTTATTAATGTACCTTTTTTTCTTCATGCTTCACATTTTGAAAGGTCTAAAATATGAAGAGAGACAACACATGTATAATAATCTTCTTTGACAAGATTGTATAGGTTCTATAAGTTCTGAAGCTTCTAAAGAATTCCTGCTGGCCAGGGATGTCTTGTTTCACACATTTTATTCATGTGTTTGTGTGCACACACTCCTTCCCAACAAGTATCTATTATCTAACTCCCTTTTGACTCACAACACACTGTCCCTAAAGGCCTAGTGATATCAAACTTCACCCTTTCTCAAAAACAAAACCAAAACAAGTTGGGTTTTAGAATAAGAATTATCTCAGCAAAGCAAAATGTTTGAAAATTTCATTACTCATTGATAATTTGATTTTGATGTAGTAAAGGCTGAGGTTTCATGATCCTTATGCATTTTCTATGATAATATGTATCTACATTAACAGAGTAGGCCATCTTTTATTTGTCAATACTTTTACCAGCTAATTATCAGTTACACCTGATTTCAGTCTTACCTGTGACAGACTTAATTGTCACTGTACCTGTCTTTAGTCTTACCTGTGACAGACTTCCTTGTCACTACACCAATTTCAATTTCAACTGTGACAGACTTCCTTTTCACTACCCCCGTTCAGTCTTACCTGTGACAGACTTCCTTGTCACTACACCTGTCTTTAGTCTTACCTGTGACAGACTTCCTTGTTACATCACCTGTCTTCAGTCTTACCTGTGACAGACTTCCTTGTCAGAGCACCTGTCTTCAGTCTTATCTGTGACAGACTTCCTTGTCACAACACCTGTCTTTAGTCTTACCTGTGACGGACTTCCTTGTCACTACACCTGTCTTCAGTCTTACCTGTGACAGACTTCCTTGTCACTACACCTCTCTTCAGTCTTACCTGTTACAGACTTCCTTGTCACAGCACCTGTCTTCAGTCTTATCTGTGACAGACTTCCTTGTCACAACACCTGTCTTCAGTCTTACTTGTTACAGACTTCCTTGTCACTACACCAATTTCACCTGTGACAGACTTCCTTGTCACAACACCTGTCTTCAGTCTTATCTGTGACAGACTTCCTTGTCACTACACCAGTTTCACCTGTGACAGACTTCCTTGTCACTACACATGTCTTCAGTCTTACCTGTGACAGACTTCCATGTCACTACACCTGTCTTCAGTCTTACCTGTGACAGGCTTCCTTGTCACAACACCTGTCTTCAGTCTTATCTGTGACAGACTTCCTTGTCACTACACCAGTTTCACCTGTGACAGACTTCCTTGTCACTACACATGTCTTCAGTCTTACCTGTGACAGACTTCCTTGTCAGAGCACCTGTCTTCAGTCTTATCTGTGACAGACTTCCTTGTCACTACACCAGTTTCACCTGTGACAGACTTCCTTGTCACTACACATGTCTTCAGTCTTACCTGTGACAGACTTCCATGTCACTACACCTGTCTTCAGTCTTACCTGTTACAGACTTCCTTGTCACTACCCCAATTTCAATTTCAACTGTGACAGACTTCCTTTTCACTACCCCTGTTCAGTCTTACCTGTGACAGACTTCATTGTCACTACACCAATTTCAATTTCAACTGTGACAGACTTCCTTTTCACTACCCCTGTTCAGTCTTACCTGTGACAGACTTCATTGTCACTACACCAATTTCAATTTCAACTGTGACAGACTTCCTTGTCACAACACATGGCTTCAGTCTTACCTGTTACAGACTTCCTTGTCACTACCCCAATTTCAATTTCAACTGTGACAGACTTCCTTGTCACTACACCTGTCTTCAGTCTTACCTGTGACAGAATTCCTTGTCACTACACCAATTTCAATTTCAACTGTGACAGACTTCCTTGTCACTACACCTGTTCAGTCTTACCTGTTACAGACTTCCTTGTCACTACACCAATTTCAATTTCACCCGTGACAGACTTCCTTGTCACTACACCTGTCTTCAGTCTTACCCGTGACAGACTTCCTTGTCACAACACATGGCTTCAGTCTTACCTGTTACAGACTTCCTTGTCACTACACATGTCTTTAGTCTTACCTGTGACAGACTTCCTTGTCACTACACCAATTTCAATTTCAACTGTGACAGACTTCCTTGTCACAACACATGTCTTCAGTCCTACCTGTTACAGCCTTAATTGTCACTACACCAATTTCAATTTCAACTGTGACAGACTTCCTTGTCACTACACCTGTCTTCAGTCTTACCTGTGACAGACTAGTCTGTATACAAATGTTACCGAGGTGATTAAGATTCTCATCAGAAACACAAACAGCTCATTTCAACTGAATTTTCTCTTTGAATGTTTCTCATCTATTCAGCCAATAAATACTTTATACAATTGTTCATTTTAGTTTTGAATTTGGTTAGGTTCTTCTGTACAACTATATCTTTAATTTTAATTTATTACTAATGCTCTAAGACATGGAAGTGATCTAGAATGGTACGGGTCATTATTTGAAAATTCAGAAACATGATCATTACAAGTTTGGGTAAAACATGTATGCACTTGAAGATTTGCAGTAAGTTACGTCTGGCAGATTATAAGGTCAGAAGTATGTTTTAAAGCTTTACTTTTTTATCATTATTTACTCACTTTTTAATCCTGTTCAGATTTGTTGATATTAAACCATTTCTTTGTTATCTGTCATAGAAAGTATAGATACAAATAAAACTGAAATGCTGTGTTATTAAATGAAATAATTTTTAATGCTTTTGCACATTTTTGATTTCTTAAATACTGATCATACAGTATCTATTTTAACTAATCATCTTTCTCAAGAAAATATTTCTAAAGTATTTAATATATCACCTGTTTTAAACTTCAATTATTCAATAGATACTTTTTTGTCAGTTTTGCTTTGTGTCAGATGTACATATTTACCTAGAGTTACCTCCCCTTGTATGAAAAGCAAACTGATATCAGGCCCTCTACGAAGTGGTACGCCTTGGTTGTTGTTTATAGTTAATGTTAAGATTATTTAAGAGAATGACACTGCGACTTCCCTAGTTCTACAATCAATAAATCTAGTCAGTGTTTTGAAGACAAATTATCTCCCTTGAAAAAAAGTTGAGAGGGCAACATAACAGATTGGGATTTTTGTAGAATCTCATCAGGCAAGACCTAAATAGTATTTTCAAGTGCCATTACTAAGGGATACAGTGTTTTTTATGAGCAAAAGCATGTGTTCAGTATTAAAATATTTTGGTTTCAAAAATCACAGACAAAATTTTACTTCAGAAAAATACTGTGAAATTATGTTTTTTTTTAATATGATACAGTAGTTGAAGTTTATTCTGAATTGATCTACATGTTAAAAAAGTTTGTATAATATATAATCACTTTGATTTCATCTCTGAAAGGCAGATCTGATTTCTATATTACTAGACACTGCCTCTGTGACTATAACTACACACTGCCTCTGTGATTAATACTACACACTGCCTCTGTGACTAGAACTACACACTGCCTCTGTGACTAGAACTACACACTGCCTCTGTGACTAACTACACACTGCCTCTGTAACTATAATTACACACTGTCTCTGTGACTATAACTACACACTGCCTCTGTGACTATAACTACACACTGCCTCTGTGACTAAAACTACACACTGCCCCTGTGACTAACTACACACTGTCTCTGTGACTATAACTACACACTGTCTCTGTGACTATAACTACACACTGCCTCTGTGACTAGAACTACACACTGCCTCTGTGACTA